TGGTGCTTGCATTCTGTGATTCTTCACTGCCCATTTTTAATTACATTCTAAAGCCACCCGCCATTTTTAATTGACTGGGCAGCCCACCCCCCTTTTATACCCGTGCTCATGCTCGGTGCTGTAGCAATGATCACGTAAGGTGGAGCAGTGGTTATATTCTGCACATGCTCGTTTAAGACCTATAACTGCCCTGGTGCTTGAATAAACACTTGTAACATGTAGGTGTGTGCTAAATTATTGTGGTTAACAGTCCTAACTATTGTGGTTAACAGTCCTCCCACTGTTACAATACTGTGTATAATACAATAACTAATGAATATAATTAGGAAGTGGATATTGGTCCGGCAGCCGGACGCCTACTGCGGGGCTATTGGTCCGGCAGTCCCTATATAGTATACTGGGGCTTCGCCCCAGTATACTAATACACGATTTTATATACAGATATCAAGTATAAATACGACAATCAGCAACGTTGATCCAGCAGGGTTGCGGTGGTGTAGTGGAGAGGCTGGTCTGGATTGCACGGATGAGGTCAGCGGTTCGAATCCCGTCGGGACTATTGACTAAAACTATGCTGAAATGTTTGATTTTTCTTTCTTTTTTTTTATCACTTTTTTACTTTTTTTTTTAAAAATAAACACTCTCTCGTACATCTTAGCCTCCGGGGTCGTAGGGTTGGGATTGGGGTTTAGTGTTTAGTTTTTAGAGCACCCTCTCGTACATCTTAGCCTCCGGGATTGTAGGGTTTTGGGATAGGGTTTCTTGATAAAAAAAGACTAAGTTCCATTTTGCACTATTGCGCATGCGCACAAGCTGTTTTACGGAGAACAACGGACTGCCGGATCTATAGCCCCGCAGTAGGCGTCCGGCTGCCGGACCAATATCCACTTCCATATAATTATGGCTGCAAATTTCTACCCGGGCAAAGCCCGTGCTTGCCCGGGTCCAAATACGCCTATGGGCTCAGGTGAACACAAATGGACTTTAGTACTTGTCCCGCAAAGTAGGTTATTTCCGCGTATCCTGTCCCGTCCCGTTAATTAGTGTTACCATAGATATTATAGGATGGGTATAAAGTTCGGACCGGACCGGACCATCGGACCAAGATTACGGATGTAACACGGGCTTGACGGACCAAGTTCTAAACTTCGGACCGGACCCATAGCATGTACAATATTATACTGACATGCCCAAGCTCACTAACCACGTGTACTATACTAGGCGCGAATGAAGAAGTTATTTGAAGTAGTTTCAACTTTATTAGTATCCCTAATTGTTCCCTATGGAGGAAAACTTGGAAGTAGAGCAGCTGGAAGCTATTTCTCCTTTAACTAGTTCTATAAAAAGAGAACTTACAGTCGATGAGGTCATGAAATATTATGCATATACAAAATGCATAATAATGATTTTCATTATCATAGCCTGTTACATAAATTTTTGTTCATTTAAGTTCTTGTACAATCTTGCAGTAAATC